AAAAAAAAAAAAAGAAAAGAAAATCCCTTTAGTAAGTCTTGAGCACCATTTTTCTTATAGAATAGAATGGAATAGGATAGGATAGCATACAACACATTAGTGTGCCTCACGAAGAGGCTAACCGTTGTTTTGCGAAACTCTCGTTCTAGTCACATCTTTGTATAAACGTGTGTATGTGTGTGCACACGCACGCGTGTGTGCGATCCTGGGTAGTGACATGAAATGGCCCCTTCCCTTGTACTCCTCTTCCAGGACGGCGGGAAGCAGCTCCTGGAAGGCATGTTGGACAACAAGACCCTCCTGGAGTTTGACTTGCGCCTGTCAGATGTGGCCCAGGAGAGCGAGTACCTCATTGGCCAGGCCCTCTGTGCCAACCGGGAAGCTGCCCGCCAGCGGACCTTGAATCCCGGCCACTTCATGTCACCAATCGTCGCCAAGGGCCCTGAGAACCCTGCACGATAAGGTGGGGGACAGGGCTGGGGCAGTGACGGGATCTGGGTCACTGCCCTAGCCCCATCCCTCATTTCATGCTCACGCATGCCTGCTGTAGAGTGCCACGCTGGTCTAGAGGGAGGAGAGTGGGAGAGACCACGGATATCCTCGGGGTCAGTGATCAAGGGTGATGCGGATAAAGACGGGGAGGGGACTGGGATGGGGGAGAAAAGGGGTATGAGGTGGGACCCGTCCCCTGTACTCCGGAAGAGGATATTACCATACCCCCTGAAATGACCGGCTTCTTCCAGGATTAGGGAAGGCAGAGAAGATTCTGAAAGCCTCCCCAGACTATCCCATGAAGGCCATCCATCTCCCTGACCCCTGCCTCCCAACCATTGTCCTCTCTACTGAACAGTCCTGGACTTTTTGACCTTCAAACATGTGCGTGCCTACGGGGCACACATACACCCTCAGTCTCTCTCTCCTCTGGCTACTGCAGAGCTTTGCGCGGCTCTTTCACCCTCACCCCTGCCAATGCTACCTCGCTATTACTTGACTCTGCTAAAGTGATCCCGTTCTACAGGCCATTCCATCCGGATTCTCATCCCCCCCCCCACACACACACACACAACCTGGGAAGGGGGAAACAGGTGACAGGAGGGACTCAGACCCACTGCCCCCACCGGGAGCTTCTGCTGGGAGGAGGAGAGCATGGGGGAGGTGCCACACAGGGGAGGGAAGTCAGTGAGTCATCCGCAACTTTATTATCCACATTTGATTTGTACAATCTTTGCGCTTGGAAATCCACGACAGAAAGGCCACAGTGTGATGCACCCAATTGACAGAGACCTGTCTTCTCCCCAGCCAGACCCAGCCCACCCCCACAAGCCCTTGTCCTCAGCACATAGGGAGCCTTCCAGGTGCCCTCCGAGAGTCCCCATCGCTCTGTGGCTGCCCACAGGGGTCACATCAACGCCCAGGGCCACAAGAGGACCTAATAGGTCCAGGCTGAGCCCCATCTCCCATCCTCCCCACCCCGCTGAGGAGTCCAGGGCCTCCAGACCCATGGTCTTTCCAAAGGATGGGTCATGGGCTGCAGCCACCGCCTAGGGGTGCCTGCTCTCCAGGGACTCCTTCCAACAAGCAGGCGCCACGCCGAGCACCAAAGGGGGCTTGGGAGTGACTGCACTTGTGTGCCTGTCTGGGCAAGCTAGAGTCTGTCTGTGCCTGACACCCTCTGACAGTTCGGGAGTGCAAACGTGTAGATGTGAGGGTGTGTGTGAGTGAGTGTGTGTGTGTGTGTGTGTACGTAGCCACAGCTGCTAGCAGAAGTTCTAATTAGAGAAACAAGAACATTCAGTGTAAAGTTTAATTTTAGAGATTAATTTTCTGGTTTTCGTTTTCCCTGGCAATCAATAAAGCTACCAAGAAAATAGACCAAAGAATCGCTTTCTCTCTAAGTCTGCGCATGTGTGGAAGGTGAGGCTGTCTGTGTAAGAAGACCTAGGCAGAAATGGTCAATACAGGCAAAAATAATAGTAGGGGGTCCCCTGTCCCCTCCTCCTAGCTCAGGCTCGGTCTCAGGAATGGGCCTGAGGGAGAAGGAGCTGAGTCCCTCCCTCCTTGGAGCTGGGAAGTGGCCAGGCTGCCTCCATACAAGGGCAGGACATCCCCGTGCCAGCTGGCCAAGAACTGGGGGCCTGCGGCCACGGCTCACCACCTGGACCTCACAGATGTCCCCTCCGAGGAAAGAGGGGTGCTCCAATCGCCAGGGCCCCAAGGAGCACAGACTCGGGGTCCAGGCAGGCTCAGTGCTGACAGGCAGGTGGCCGTGACTGCCCAGGCCCAGGGAAACCTAGTGGGCAGCTATTCCCTCCTGCCCAAGCCTCCCCTTCTCCCTCCTCTTCTGCCTTCCCACTCAGCCATCTCCACAGGAAAGCTCAACCCTGATGGACCATGGGCCGCGGTGTCCCCACAATCTGTACCTCCCAAGTCCCCCAGGGAAGGGGGACGGGGAGCCAGAGATGTTGTACAGGTGACTGTCATGCCCTTGGCAGGTGTAGGCCTGGCTAGCCTGGAGGAAGATGGGAGAGGGGGCTGGAGGAAGATGGGAGAGGAGGCTGGAGGAAGATGGGAGAGGGGGCTGGAGGAAGATGGGAGAGGGGGCTGGAGGAAGATGGGAGAGGGGGCTGGCGGAAGATGGGAGAGGGGGCTGAAGGAGGGGAAGGAGGAGCTCATATGGCTCAGGCAAAGTGAGGAGCATCAGGGGTGAGCGATGTTGGCGGCGTTATCCTCTCCAGCTTGAAATATGAGCTCACTCCCTGGGCACTGAATGTGCTGGGAAAACTTTAGCCAGGGGAGTTGGGAGGGCAGGGGGTTGTACATAGACATGCACACTGAAGCACATCAGGGTGGGAGTGGTGGGGGAGAAAAGGCCGTGTCAGAGCTTTAGAACAGGACGTGGGACCAGCGCCCTTGGGTGGTGGCAAGGTGCCCTTTTGAAGACCGCGGGGCACGCTGCAGGGCTTCAGCTCATGGGATAGAGGAGGACAGAGGGGGTCAGACAAGATTTAGAGAATTTCTGCCTCTGACCCTGCCACTGGAATTGAGTATTTCTCCAGTCGGGGCTCGTGAGGACATCCTCAGCCCTGCAGAGGTAATGTGTGGGGACAACAGCTCTTCATACCACCCCCCCAAGTCTGGGGAAGGCAAGGGTCGCCCCAGACACCCCCACCTTTGGAGGTCCTTTCCATCTCCCTCCACTGCCCACTCCCACCTGCTAGGAGAGTTCCCCTTTGTCACCCGGGTCTGTCTCCCACTCTTCCCACCCAGGCATTCACCTTGACCAGCTTTAATGAACACGCGGCGGGGGGGGAGGGGGCGGTTATCTCACCCCCTCTGAAGGGAGAGCCCTCCCAGAACCCAGGTCAGGAGGCTGCAGAGTTTAGAGACAGGACTGAGGTACATACCCTCCATATTTTGCCCCCCTCCTCCCTGGGCAACTGCTCTTCAGGGCCAGAAGGCAAGAGGGAAGGGAGGAGAGTGACGGGAGCGGTGTGAGCACAGTCCCTCCAGGACCCACACTCCAGGGACCCAGCAAAATAAACAGCAGTGAACGGAGCGGCAGAAAGGAAACCCCGATGTTTTGGGGCCAGCGCCAAGAAGAGGAGAGCAACATTTGCACGGTTTTGAGATGGAGCGTCGGGGCTGACATCCGGCCCCGGCCTCAGACCCACTGAATCCACTAGCAGGTTGGAAGTCAGCCCTGCTGTTCACCAAACCACCGCCCCCTCCGTAGAGAGAGGCCCTGGTGGGGCCAGGCAGCGAAGGAAGGAAAGCCCCCTCCGGCCTCTAGACCTCCCAGCTGCACAGCGAAGGCCTCGCCCTTGTGACGGGCCCCACGCGGTGCCACAGCACAGTCGCCGCTAACAGTCAGAAGATTCATTGAAAGGCTGAACGGGAAATCTCGAGTGTGCGAGTGTGCGTGGAGGAAGGGGAGGTGTCCCCCTAGGAACTGAGGGGCGGGGCTGGAAGAGCCGACCGTGTCCGGGCGGGGTTCCCCGGAGCCGCCCATCCCCTCCCACCCGTCGGTCTCTTTATGTACAGGAAAGGCGGGGGGATCCGAACCCCATCGGGGTCCGTCCCGTGCACCCTCGCCTCCCTGCTCCCCGCGCCGTGCCCGGCACAGCCTCAGTCACCATCACGACTCCCCCCACTACACGCCAGGGGCACGGTCCGACGAGGGGCAGGAGGGAGGACGTGGGCCTGCCGGGGGGCAGCAGGGGGGGGCGGAGGTCAAAGTGAGGTCTCTACGCAGGAGCCGTGGCGGTGCAGCGGCCGGTGGCTGTGGCCCAGACACCCCTCCTGCCGGTGCACGATGAGGACCGGGAAGTAGAGGGCGTCGTGGTAGGGCGGCGGCGGCCCGGCCTCCTCCTCGTCGTCGTCCTCGTCGTCCCCCATGCTGGCCTGGCTCGACAGGCGCGTCTGCTCGGTGGGGCAGCTCGCCTCGTTGACGCTCCCGCTCCGGCTGCGCCACAGGCAGCTGCGTCGGGAGCCGTAGAGGCGGCCGAGCGAG